GCCCCACCAGATTCGTGCAATGCTGCGTAGACAGCGATGTTCAAACACCGGCAGTCTATCTTTGTTCTGTTTTCTTAATGGCCAAGCTTTTGCTCCATATAGCAGAACTGATCGAACTGCTGCAGCATACACTTAACAAACAGCCGGATGTCGCGACGGCGCCACAGATGTCTCAAGTTGACAAATANTCCCAAATAAGCGTGTAAGCAACTCTGAGATCAGTCATCACGTATTTGTTAATGATTCGGTGGAATATTCGAAGCCAGATCAGTAGACTTTGCTGGGTAGGACATGTTTTGTGCGTGCCCATCTGTCGTTTACCGCATCGCAACTAATTCGCAGCTGCGGCTCCAGGTTGAAGGGAACCACGTGGAGGTCAGCAGATGATATGGAAACGAGGGATGACGAAATGAACAGAGCGATTAGGTAGAATGGGAGTCTCCTGTCATCTGGGTTGGGATACAACTGGTTGGCTGGAGAAACCGAAGGGTGTGGCAACTGGCCGACAGCAGTGGCGTTCTTGTTGTCATTTCTTATCAGCCCAGAATGCACAGTTAGGTTGTGCACTCCGTGTATTGATTAAAGAGGTTCGTTTTCTTTTCCACCCTCCAATTAAGCCCAATTACTCTCTATCTTATAATTTATCGCCTACTTTGTGTACATTGAGAGGCTGCCCTTGATCAGTGAAGTTCACTTCTTTTTATCTCGTAGTACGAAGATGATGATTCATCCGGTGGGGAAACTAGACGAACAGTGTCGAGGTTAGGCGCAGGTAATCATTTTAGCCACTTTACGGCGGCTGGCTCCTGAAGAGGGATAAGCCTGCTTTATGGATATTCAAAATTTCAGCTGTCCACGCTCGGCGGCCTGTTGCAAGATCAGCGCAGATTGTGACCCAGCTTGACTTCCATTGGTGATTACCGTAGATGAAGTGGAGACCAAGGTTTTCTGTATCCTTGCGTACTATGTCTAGCCAGGTTTTCAGCTGACCACCGTGTCGACAGCGCCAGTTCGGGCAGGGCAGTGGTGCCAAGGCAGATTTGGTCAGATCGTTATCGGACTTACGAAGTAGGCGACCAAACCATTGTAGTGGTCGCCGTTGCATTAGCACTCGGAGCCGTAAAGGATTAAGACACCGGCCTCTGACCGCTTCAACTGAGAGCTGATCCCTCCATCGAGCACTCGGATTCTTAGACACCAACGATCGAAGACTTCTATTTGTCGATAGTCTTTGACTCTAAGTGGCCAGGGTTCACAGCCGTAAAACAAGACAAAACGAACTGCTGTGGAGAAAACTCATATTTTTCTTTGGGCTGATTCCATTTCTACGCCAAAGGGAATTCTTAAGCTATA